GAGTGTGTTCAAGTGTCTATGAGTGTTGCGAGTGTGTTTGGGATTGTCTGCGTGTGTGCCAGTGGGTCTGAGTGTGTCTGGGTGTGTGAGAGCGTGTCTGAGTGTGTGTGAATGTGTCTGGGTGTGTGCGAGTGTTTCTGTGTGTGCCTGAGCATGCCTTAGCATGTATTTATGGGTCTGATTGTTTCTCATTGTTTGCAGGTGTGTCTGAGTGGGTCTGAGTTTTTTCAGTTGTGTCTGAGTGTGTCTGAGCATGTGTGCGTGTACCTGAGCATATATTTATGGGTCTGATTTTTTGTCAGTGTTTGCAGGTGATTCTGAGTGTGTGCCAGTGTGCCTGAGTGTGTCAGAGTGCGTCTGAGGGTGTGTGAGTGTCTCAGAGTGTGGGCGCGTGCGTGTGAGTGTGTTCAAGTGTCTATGAGTGTTGCAAGTGTGTTTGAGATTGTCTGCGTGTGTGCCAGTGGGTCTGAGTGTGTCTGGGTGTGTGAGAGCGTGTCGGAGTATGTGTGCCAGTGGGTCTTAATGTGTCTGGGTGTGTGCAAGTGTGTCTCAGTGTGCCTGAGCGTGCCTGAGCATGTATTTATGGGTCTGATTGTTTCTCAGTGTTTACAGTTGTGTCTGAGCATGTGTGAGTGCATCTGAGTGTGCCTGAGCGTGTATTTATGGGTCTGAGTGTGTCTGAGTGTTTGGAGTCGTGTGTGAGTGTGTCTGAGCATGTGTGAGTGTATCTGAGCCTGTCTTCTTTTGTCTGAGTGTGTGTGAGCATGTTTCAGCGTGTTTGAGTGTGTCTGCGCGTGTCTGAGTGTGTGTGAGTGCATGTGAGCGTGTATGAGTAGGTCTGAGTGTTTGCAGGTGTGTCTGAGTGTGTCTGAGTGTGCCAGAGTGTGTGTGAGTGCGCGTGAGCGTGTATGAGTTTGTCTAGCTGTGTGCCAGTGTGTCTGAGTGTGTGCGAATGTGTCTGAGTGTGTCTGTGTGTGTGCAAGTGTTTCTGTGTGTGACTGAGCATGCCTGAGCATGTATTCATGTGTCTGAGCGTGTATGAGTGTGTTTGAGTGTGTGCAGGTGCGTCTTAGTGTGCGAGTGTGTCTGAATGTGTGAGAGTGTGTCTGAATGAGTCCGAGTGTTCCAGTGTGTCTGAGTGTGTCTGAGTGTTTGCACTTCTGTCTGAGTGTGTCTGAGCATGTGTGTGTGTGTCTGAGCGTCTCTGAGTGTGTCCGAGTGTCTGCCAGTGTGTCTGAGTGTGTCAGAGTGCGTCTGAGGGGGTGTGTGTCAGAGTGTGGGCGCGTGTGTGTGTTCAAGTGTCTATGAGTGTTGTGAGTGTGTTTGAGATTGTCTGCGTGTGTGCCATTGGTCTGAGTGTGTCTGGGTGTGTGAGATCGTGTCTGAGTGTGTGTGAATATGTGTGTGAATGTGTCTGGGTGTGTGCGAGTGTGCCTGAGCATGTATTTATGGGTCTGATTTTGTCTCAGTGTTTACAGGTGTGTCTGAGCATGTGTGAGTGCATTTGAGTGTGCCTGAGCGTATATTTATGGGTCTGAGTGTGTCTGAGTGTTTGGAGTCGTGTGTGAGTGTGTCTGAGCACGTGTGAGTGTATCTGAGCCTGTCTTCTTTTGTCTGAGTGTGTGGGAGCATGTTTGAGCGTGTTTGAGTCTGTCTGTCTGCGCGAGTCTGGGTGTGTCTGAGTGTATCTGGGTGTGTCTGAGTGTTTCTGAGTGTGCCTGAGTGTGCCAGAGTGTGTGAGTGCGCGAGTGTCTATGAGTTTGTCTAGCTGTGTGCCAGTGAGTCTGTGTGCGAATGTGTCTAAGTGTGTCTGTGTGTGTGCAAATGTTTCTGTGTGTGACTGAGCGTGCCCGAGCATGTATTGGTGTGTCTGAGCGTGTTGGAGTGCGTTTGAGTGTGTGCGGGTGCGTCTGAGTGTGCTTGAGTGTGTCTGAGTGTGTCTGAGTGTGTCTTAGTGTGTGCGAGTGTGTCTGAGTGTGTCTGAGTGTTTGCAGGGGTGTCTGAGTGTGTCTGAGCGTTTGCACTTCTGTCTGAGTACGTCTGAGCACGTGTGCGTGTATCTGAGCATCTCTGAATGTGTCAGAGTGCGTTCCAGTGTGTCTGAGTGTGTCAGAGTGCCTCTGACGGTGTGTGAGTGTGTCGGAGTGAGTGTGAGTGCGCGTGAGCATCTATGAGTTTGTCTAGCTGTGTGCCAGTGGGTCTGAGTGTGTCTGTGTGTGTGCAAGTGTTTCTGTGTGTGACTGAGCGCACCTGAGCATGTATTCATGTGTCTGAGCATGTCGGAGTGTGCTTGAGTGTGTATGAGTGTGTGAGAGTGTGTCTGAGTGTGTCTGAGTGTTTGCAGGTGTATCTGAGTGTTTCTGAGTGTTTGCACTTCTGTCTGAGTGTGTCTGAGCACATGTGCGTGTATCTGAGAGTCTCTGAGTGTGTCGGAGTGTGTGCCAGTGTGTCTGAGTGTGTCAGAGTGCGTCTGAGGGTGTGTAAGTGTGTCGGAGTGTGGGCGAGTGCGTGTGAGTGTGTTCAAGTGTCTATGAGTGTTGCGAGTGTGTTTGGGATTGTCTGCGTGTGTGCCAGTGGGTCTGAGTGTGT